GTAATGTCTCCTAGATCTTGATATTGTAATTTTAAAAATGTATAACTGATATTGTGTAATAGGAAGCAAAGGTCTAAAGGACCAGGGGAAGTAGGAGGGGTAGGGGAAAGGAAAGAAGGGAAAAGAAAAAATACGAGAAAAGGAAAAGAATGGAAACAAAGTCTTTGCAAATAGGGAAGGCTGGAGGGGGTAAAGGGAGGGCAGGGGAAGGGGAGAAAAATAAGAACCAAGATACTTATGTAATAGTATAAGATTCCAATGATGAATGTAACTGTATTTTTTTTTTTTCCTTTTGTACCGGGGATTGAACTCGGGTCCTTGTGCTTACGAGGCAGGCAATGGAACCACTGGGCTAAATCCCTGGCCCTGTAACTGTATTTTATACCTAAAATGTACCAATAAACTTAATGGGGAAAAAAACAAACAAAAAAGTCAGTTCTTACAATGCATGCTTTCTTTTAAAATAATTTTCAAATTTTAGTTCTACAGACAGATCATTTATCTTTGTACGTTTAATAAACAACTTCTAAACAGACTTCAGATGATATATGAAACTATTTTTTTCTTATAGGTGGCCTTTATTTTTAGTCTTTATTGACTGCATATTTTCTCTGGGTATATTACATCTACCAACAAGTTTGATCCAACTCAAGCCTCAAACAGAACCAAAAGTACATACTTTCAATTGCCAAGTAAATTTTCCGTTCTCCTTCCTTGGGTTCTTTGCCAGGAGGGAAGTAAGTTCCTCTGATTGTAATAGCAGCTTCGGAATATTCACTGATTCTCTGTAGAGCTTCCTTAGAGGTAACTTTCCACCTCGCCGTCTAAAAGAAAAGGTGGGAGAAAAAATTACTCCATGACAATGACTTTAAAAATCTAGTATGCTGACAAAGAAGAGGTTGGTCAACATATTATGGTCAGTAGCAATATCATAATTACTAATACCTACATCATAAATTTATTTAAATCCTATTGCACCTAGAACATATTCATAACAAATGAATTTCTATTGGTGTCTTTCCCACATAAATAAAAATGAAGTAGGGCTTGGGATTTAGCCTAGTGGTGCAAGGTCCTGAGTTTGATCCCCACCAAAAAAAAGTAGTGGCAAATATTCATCTTAAAATCATCATGTTTTTTAGGTTTTTTTGTTTTTTCCAGTACTGGGAATTGAACTCAGGACCTTGTGCATGTGAGGCACCACTGAGCTAAATCTCCAGGCAAAATGATCATGTTTAAAAGAAGAGATTTCTAGCCCAGTGTGGTAGCACACACTTGTAATCCCAGTACTCCAGAGGCTGAGACAACAAGATCACTGTGAATTCACAGCTATATAGTGAATTCAAGGCCAGCCTGAATTACACAGCAAGACTGTCTCCCCCACACTCCCCCAAAAGAAGGGATTTTTATTCCTAAAGAAGCAAGAGTTTCTACTTCACAATATTAAAAGATTTAAATCGGTTACTTGCCTGTGGGAAGTCATTAATCTCTAATTCTTCCTCGTATCTCTTAAAAGATTCATTCTGTCCACCATCCTGTCTCTCCTCTTCTTGTTTTTCTAAAGGCACATAATTGAGCTTGGCATTGATCTTTTCAGCAAGTTGCTCTGCAATGGTTTTTGCAGACACAGTGGGAGCCAGAATAGTGCCACCTCTGAGAATTGCATTGGTGGCCTGTTGCATCACATCCTGTAGTTAAAGAAGATCTACAGTCAAATCTCAAATGAGGACAGAGACAAGACCAGGAAGCCTATCACAAATTATTCTCTGAAGAGTGACTAATTCTGTTTAAATAGCATCTTTCTACTGCAGAGTCTCACCCATATGTCCAATTCTGCAGTATATTTATATACTAATAGTTTAACTTATCTCCTTTACTTTTGAGAAAAGTAAAGAACATTCAATTCTCTATTAAATATTCTATTGGACTACAAATCTGTCCTTGATAATTAGTTAACTCTTTGATATCAGATACAATACAGTATTCTTAAAATCATTTACATATTTTGAGATTCCCAGAAGTTTCCTCTGAATCAGAACCTTTGTACCATTAACACCAAGCATCTTCTCCCCCATGGCCCAACCCAAAATTCAACAAGCTACAGCAGGGCCGGGGATGTAGCTCAGTGGTGCCACACCTGCCTGGCAAGCACAAGGTCCTGAATTCAATTCCCGGTACCGAAAAAGAAAAAAAGCAATTAGAACAAGCTACAACAGATGACTTACTTTAAATCTTCAAAATACTGTTGAAATTAATAAGCCATTCCTTGGGAATGCTATGAAAATTGAAAATTCACTCAGCTAAAAGTCCACAAAAAGCTTCAAAGAAAAACGTAACATGAAATATTTAGAAAACACATCTCTCCACCATTTAATCACATCAGAGTCATGTAACTGCATCTTCATACATTCAGGGAATTGTTTGTGTTCCCACCAAGCCATCCAATGAGAGTAGATTAATAAAGAAAAAGAGAATTATTTCTTTAGATTTTAGTAAGGCTAATCAGAATATAGTATAGATTGAGGATCTCTTTTCCAAAATGCTTATGATCAAAAGCGTTTCAGAGTTATGACTTTTAGAGTATTTGCATAGGTCTTAGCAGTTGGCTATCGGTAATTCAAAACCCCAAATTCCACAAAATCCGAAATTCTTTGAGCATCATGTCAATGGTCAAAATATTTTGGAACCTAGAGCATTTTGGATTTTCAGATCAGGGATGCTTCACTGTTCTGTAAAAATTATCTATGCTTAACATGCCTGTTAGGCATTCCAGAATAAGCATAAACCCTTCAGTTAACCACACTAGTGAAATCACCCAAATACAATTATCAAGGAATCCTCTATTGAGAATGTTAAATTCTTACAAACTCAATTTCAGGGAAAACTCATTCACTTGTGCTTGGCAAAATCCCTGAAAAGTATCTAAATAAAATCTATTGACTGAGACATGGAATAAAGTACTTAATACCTGAGACTCAATGCCCAAATTCTTCTGAGCATTGATTCTGAGAGCCAATCGCTTAGCAATTTCTAATTTTTCGGCATTTCCTGCAGTTGGGGCAGGAACACTAGATGTTCCAGGAGCAGCCATATCCTTTACTCTCTTCTTTGAATTAAACATGCTTTCAATTTGTTCATCAATCTAGACCAAGGAAAAAACAAGGAGGATTAGCAAAAACTAGACGCGAAATATCAATTTTGTTATAGAAACAAGTAAAAATATTTCCACCAAAAGGCTAGGATCAATTATATTTGTGTAATTCAATTACATGGATTAATAGCAAAATATACCATCAATTTGTTAAACGTAGTACATTTCACCACTGGCTATGGTGAAAAGAAAATAGAAAACTGTGATGCAATGCCGCATAAACCACTCAATCGGACTCCTCCTGAGACGTCCAGAAAATACATTGCAGGCTGATAAGCAAGGAAACGTGTGCTGTCAAATGGAATGACCCACATAATGCAGCTGAGTTGTTCCAGGGCTCAGACCTGGAGGCCAAATTATACTGCAATGAACAAATCTGGAAGATGGGCTATAATTCAAGGCAAGGGGACAACTGAAAATAGTAATTCTCAGAAGGAATGGTGCAACATGTTCCAAAGGCAGAGCTCTCGTTCCAACTCCTAAAATGTAATTGGATTTGTCTTAAAAATGGTAACAAAAAAGAAGGCTCATTGCCTTATTCTTTTGAATCAAGAAAGGAAAGATGAGCTTTTTCATCAAGATGAGCTACTGTGGAGGCCTCAGCTCTTCAAAAGCCACTAGGCCTTGGTGCCATAACTGAATACTAAGAAAATTCAGCACTGTCTTTTGCCCACAATGATTACTGACACTGCTGAGTAAAGAAATACAAATTCTTTTATAAATTCAGATTAAAGGGCTTTATCATCTATGCAGAAAAACCTTGTTTGGGGTTAAAATTAATTGGGTTAATTTAGGAAGCCCTTTTACTCAAAAAGAAACGGTTCTACTTTTTAAAAATTTTACCTATTACCCAGCTATTCCCCTGCTGGGTATCTTCCCAAAAGAATTAAAAGAATCATACCATTGTGATATATTTGCATCCATGTTCATAGCAGCACAGTTTGTGATAGCTAAAACTTGGAAACAGCCCAAATGCCCATCAACTGGAGACTGGATAAAGAAAATGTGGGTTTTTTTTTTTTTTTAAATATGGAGTACATAAAAAATGAGAAATTAGAGACATTTATTGCTAAATGGATGCACATGGAGGCAATACTCTTTTTTTTTTCTTGGTACCAGAGATTTAACTCAGGTCCTTGAGTTTGCGCAGCAGGCAGCGAAACCACTGAACTAAATCCCCAGCCCTGAGGCGATATTCTTAAGTGAAATAAAAAGGACATATATGTATAAATACCGAATAGTTTCTCTAGTGTGAGAAACTGAAAGTGTAAATAAGGACTAAAAGGTATAATAGATAATGTGAAATAGGAAGAAAAGGGGCAAAGGGGAAGGGGTAGGGGAAAGGAAAGAAGGGAATGGAATTAATATGAGAACATGAAAAAAAGGAAACAAAGTCTCTGTAAATAGGGAGGGCAGGGAAAGGGGTGAAAAATAAAAACAAAGAGAGTATGTAAAGGTGCAAATTTCCAATGATGAATGTCATTATATTGTAAACCTAAAATGTACCAATAAAAGGACATACAGTTAAAATTTTACCTACTAAAAGGTTTTATCAACTAGTTGTTTTTATTATTTTTTTTGGTACTGGGGATGGAAATCAGGACCTTGCGCTTGCCAGGCAGGCTTGAAGTGATGCCACTGAGCTAAATCCCCACTCCTAGTTGTTTGTATTTTTGTGTGTGGTTTTGTTTTGGGGCTTTTTTTTTTTTGTCTTGTTTTTCGGTGCTGCTGAGACCTAAGCTGGTTTGTTCTTATTTTTGTTTTTATTGTTTTTTTGAGACAGGTTCTATGTATTGTAGACCGTCCTTGAACTCACTATGTAGCCTCAAACTCACAGTACTCCTCCTGCCTCAGCCTCCCAAGTGTTGGGGATTACAGCCATGCACACCATGCCTGGCTCCTAAAACTGGTTTTAAACTCAACAGTTAGCTGAGTAAAGCTATTTTTTTTGGTACCAGGGATAGAACTCCGGTCCTTGAGCTTGCAGGGCAGGCAATAGAAACACTGAGCTAAATCCCCGGCCCAAGTAAAGCTATTTTAAACTAAACAGTATGCATGGTATTAAGATGTAAATAAACGTAAAAACTCAGGAATGCAGAGTGTATGGTATTAGTTGATAAGGCTAACTTTATTTTGGGGTTTATTTAAAGTATTCTCTCTCTCTTTTTTAAACAAAGATTACGTATTACAGTACTTTAACAGAATCAACATATTTCATTATGGAGTTTTGTGTGTATGTGGTTTAAAAAAAAAATTTCTTTTTAAAGTTTTTTTCAGACAGGGTCTCACTATATAGTCCAGCCTGGTCTTGAACTCACAATGTAGTACAAGCTGACCTTGAACTCTGTGGCAATCCTCATGCCTCAGCCTTCTGAATGAGATTTTTAAAAACTCAAAAGTAATATAAAAAAAGTAACAGGCTGGGCTGGGGATTTAGCTCAGTGGTTCTGCCGCCTGCCTCGCAAGCATAAGGACCAGAGTTCGATCCCTGGTACCAAAAAAAAAAAAAAGTAACAGGTGATTTTTAAACATTTCTAGAAATTATTTTTCTCTCTTCAAGAGGTAGAGCCAGAGGACTGCAGTCTGGCCCAACCACTTAACTCTCCCCAAGTCAGAACAGACCAGCTAAACACAATTTCTTGCCCCTTGGAAACTATGAGATTAAATAAAGGCTTATTGTTTTAACCTGCTAAGTTTTGGTTTGATTTGTTATACATTAACAGATACTGTAACTAAAACAGACTTCACTAAATTTTGAGCTAGTATAATATACTAGAAAAGGAATGCATTAGATTAACATGAGACCTGGATTCTAGTCCTAGCTATGTTTAAGTCCCAGTATGGTTAAAACCAAATATTTCTGGTGAGCCTCAGATTAAATATTTGATCTACAAAACTGTGTTCTAAAGGATTTCTTTCTTGGGAGGAGGGGGTATTTCGAGACCAACGAGGTTCAGTATGTTGCCCTTGAACTTCTAGATTCAAACAATTCTCCTGCCTCAGCCTCCTGAATAGCTAGGACTATGTGCCATCACAACTGGTGAGATCAAGTTTAATAGAGTATTTTTAAAAATTTAAAAATGTTTTATGATCAAATATGTTGGAAAATTTCTGGGTAAAACAAAGTTAAACAGCCTTGTCTGTCTCTCTTGCTTTTTGCAGTATTAGGAATTAAACCCAGGCCTTCACACTGAGCTACATCCCCAGCATACTCCCCCTTTCTTTTTGAGATACAGTCTTAAGTTCCTCAGGTTGAGGCTAAACAGGCTTTCTTAATCATTTGTCATATCTTTGATATGCTATTTAAAGAGTATACACACACATACACACATACACACACACAGGTATGCACACATACTAAGCAGATTTTCCAAAATTATTATGGAAACATCCTCTTCTAATACTTCCAGGTCAGGGTTCCAAAGAATACAGTTGTTGGTGGGGAGGGGTTGTTTTTTTGTTGTTGTTCTTTTTCTTGAGACAGGGTCTTGCTATGTAGTTTAGATTGGTCTGGAAATCACTACGTAGCCCAAGTTGGCCTCAAACTCACAACAATCCTCCTGCCTCAGCTTCCTGAGTGCTGGGATTACAGGTGTGCATCACCACACCCAGAAGAATAGTTTTTGAAAACCTCAACTTGCTGAGAAAAAGGGTTTTGACAATAAGAGCTGTGCAAATCTCAGTGGTCATTATCTCCTTCTAAACCTCACTCTCCATTACAAATGGGAATACTATGGGTAATTATCTTGTATAATCATTGTGAGGAAGTGAAATATCCCTGTAAAGCACCTGGCACAGCGTGTAGCATTTAGTAGCATTCAATAAAGGTCAACTATTATTATTGTTTGCTGGGCATGGTGGTACATGCCTGTGATCCCAGCACTCTGTATACAGAGGCAGGAGGATTGCCATGAGTTCAAGACCAACCTGGGTTACATACTGAGTTGATGGCCAGCCTGAACTACACAATAAGACTCTATATTAAAAATATGTATATATCAAATTTACAGATAAAAAACAGTATTGGATGTACAAGGCCCCGGCTTTCATCCTGAGTAGCAGAGAAAAACAAATGCAAAAAACATTATCAGTGGCAACACTGTTTTTTAGTATATGTGTTGCCAAAAACCCAGCACCAGTAGCAATGCTGTTAAAGGTATGGGAATGCAGAGACATTCTCTCATACTACTATGATGGGCCTAAACCGATACTCCCTTACTGGAAGACAATCAGACATTTTTTTTTTGGTACCGGGGACTGAACTTGGGACCTTGCACTTGCAAGGCCGGCGCCAGAACCACTGAGCTAAATCCCCAGCCCTTATTTTTTTTTTTTGAGAAAGGGTCTCACTACATAGTTCAGGCTGGCCTCAAACTCGCAGCCATCTTCCTCCCTCAGTCTGCCAAGTGCTGGGACTGTAGGCGTCCACCACCACAGCAGATAGTCTGATGTTTAAAACCAAATAAAATACTATACTTTGGCCTAGCAATTTCACTTACAAACTAATTCTCAAAATGTAACCTAATGCATGTGCAAAGTTAACGTGCAATGAAATACAGTTGATTATATATTCCAAATGGTGAATATAGGAAAAAACAACCAATCAAGTACAAGTCTAATTAAACTGTGAAATAGCCATATGATGAAATATTATGTAGCATTCATGAATAAGAATGAACTTAGTAAACTGGAAAGATTTCTACATACTGTTATAAAGAAGTTATAAAGCAGTATAATCCCATTTTTATGAAACTATAAAAATTGAATATGTATGTACATAAACAGAAAAGCACATTGAAGGTTTCCAGTGACTGGCTATCCCAACAAGCCTAAGGAAAGACCTTCAGTGTAACACGAATAATCATTTCAACTGCCCATGAAACTTACAATACTTACATCAACTGCAGCATCTTCATCATCCGAATCTTGCAGACCAAGAGCTGCCTTCTGTAACTTCTTCCTCTCATTAGCCAAAGCTTGTTCTGTTTCATCAAACTTGAATCCCTTACCAGAGAACCCACTACTCTTTTTAATTATTTTTCCTTCCTTTTAAGGAAAAATTAAAAAGTTAATTTCATAGTAAAAACTTATTAAATATTTTTCAAGGTGGCATATGACAAGGTCAAAATATATTTCACCTAGTAAAAAAGCAAATAAGAGCTTACAAAATATTAAGTTCAAGCAAAAGAGAAGACTGTTTTTACTACCCTCCCAAAGAAATAAATGAAAAGTCTTATCAAGATGTCCAAGTATCAAACAGTCACATTAGTAATTTCCATAAAAGAAGCAAGAGTTTAAAAGCTTACAGCTTTCTGCTGATCTTTGAAATCACTCCAAAGTTTCTCTAGATCAGGAGGCACCACAGTCCCTGACAATTCAAGAGCTTTAATTATGTCACCAGCATAGCGAGCTTGATCCTCTGTGATAAAAGTGTAGGCATAACCCTGGTAATGAAAAAATGGAATGTATTAGAGGCTAAAAGATGAATCTTACTCAGATCACAAAAAGGATAAATTATAAACCTAACAAGTGCTCTCATACTGACACCACTACTAAAGAATTTTAAAGACAAGAGTCTTATCCTATTTTTTAATGGCTCAAAGTGAAATATTTAAGTTTAATATTTAAAAATAAGGGGGCTTCACGGGGGATTAGCTCAGTGGTTTCGCTGCCTGCTGCGCAAGCGCAAGGACCGGAGTTCGATCTCCGGTACCAAAAAAAATAAAAAATAAAAAAAATAAGGGGGCTTGGAATGTAGCTCAGGGGTAGAGCACCAGCCTACCCATGTACAGGTTGAAATCCCTGACATCACAACAATAAATAATAAATATAGCTTGGCTTGGTGGAGCATGCCTATAACCTCAGGACTCTGGGAGCTAAGACAGGAGAGTGGCAAGCTCAAGCCCACCGTGGGCAATTTAGTGAGACCCTGTCTCAAAAAATAAAAAACAGCCTAGGGGTGTAGTGCAGTGCAAAGGCCCTGGGTTCAATCACCAATACCACAAAAAATAAAAATAATAAAACCCCACACATCGCACACTACCCTAACCACTTTAACTCATATCAACTTCCCAGGATGTAGCTTTTTGTATTTTTCTTCAACAAAAAAACTGTGTATATATGTGCATATACTTGCTTATATACACAAATGAGTTATTTTTATATACTTATTTTTATAACTATGAGATCAGCTACCTCACCTGCCTGAGATTCTCTGAGGTTCCTAGTAGGTTTTTGCGCAGGCAAGAGAAAAAATGGAGTGGAAGTAAAAGCAAACAACATTCAGATTGTCATTCACAAAACACTCTCTCCCTCAAACAAGAGACTTACAAATTTTAAAAACACAGTTTAAGATTTTATTTCAGGACTATCTAGTCACCACATCTGATCCATGGTCTGCTGTTGTGTTGCCCATGAACTAAAATCATTTACATTTTTATATGGTTATAAACACTGAGGGTGAGAAAGAGAATGACAGAAACTGCTGTGGTCCAAAGTTACAATTTTTAGTACACGACCTTTTAAAGAATAAGTTCCCAAGGCCGGGGATTTAGCTCAGTGATTTCGACGCCTGCTGTGCAAGCGCAAGGACCCGAGTTCGATCCCCGGTACCAAAAAATAAAAATAAAGAATAAGTTCCCAACTCCTCAAAATACATCAGTTAAGAGAATAAATTCCATTACTACTTATGAGGTGTGTAACACTGAGCATGTGACTTAGCTTCTATATGTTCAATTTTTCTCATGCATAAAATGGGCTAATATCTATCTCAAAGTGAAGTTTTGAGGGTGAAATGAGATGGAATATGTAAAAAACTTAGAACAGTGTACAGCACGTAGAAGATAAATATAAGCTATTACTGTTAATAGTTGATAATGTTACTCCACTATGTTATGTCCAAGGTTGGAAAATTCAAATGTTCATCATCAATGTCTCCAACAACAGAATATTCTGCTGCTTAAAAAAAAAAGGACTGGTTGGGGACATACCTCAGTGGCAGACTGCCTGCCTAGCATGTACAAGGCCATGGATTTGATCCCCAGCATGGGGAAGGGGGGGCGGGGGAAGAAGGAAGATTTTGTAGGGCACAGAAGTATGTGCCTGCAGGCCCAGCTACTCAGCAAGCTAAGACAGAACAGCCTGAGACTAGGAGTTTGAGGCCAGTCTGGGCAACAAAGCAAGATCCTATATCAAAAAGCAAACAAAAAACAAACAAAAAGAAACCTCCAACTTAGGCCCATATAGTTATAAAAATATACAACAAGTCAAAAAACTAAACAGCATGTATATTTGTGTGTATATGTGTGTGATACTTGGGGATGGCTGTATTTTATGATCCCATTTTTTAAAAAAAGGAATGAAATATATTGGACTACACTATACACAGAAATTTCTAGGCAAGGGACAAAAGAATCTAAAAGGAGACATAAACTGTTAACACTATCGGCCTATAGAAAGCACCAAGGTTTCTAAAAACTAACAATATCTATACAAGCATATGTACATAAATGATTAACATCATTCCACACATTCTGATGATTAAGAAAATGTTACAAAATGTCTTTGTAACTTCTATTATTTATTCCTTAAAATACTAAAAGAAACACCTATATTTTAATATAAACGAAATCAACTATTAAAAATTCTTTTTACTTTGTTGCCTGCTCTTCCAGTCCGTCCTGCTCTGTGTACATAGTCCTCATAGTGGTTGGGGCAGCTGTAATTTACTACAAGAATCAGATGTTTCACATCTAGACCTCGGGCAGCAACTGAGGTGGCCACAAGAAGCTTGCAGGTTCCATTCTTAAAGTCATTTATGATGCTATCTCTGTCATATTGATCAATACCTGTGAGTAAATTAGAGATATAAAACATGTTAAAATTTTCCATTTCTTCTGACAAAGAATCTAAAAGTGGAATAAAAAACAAATCCATACCTAAAACTCCGAAAGTACAGAAAAATAAAAGACTAAAAAGATTTAACGGAAAGATTAAGGGCTACTGCCATTCATTCATCCATGGACCTTCCAAATCTGCCATGCTTTGTCCCCTTTCTTGTATAGAAGGCTTATAGCTACAAAGGCCTAAACTTGTTTCAGGAAAAAAGAAAGCAAAAGCAAGAACAAAAAGCCTACACTGATAGGATTCAGATCTTTCTCCTTCTCCTGTGGCTTTTTTAGAGCCTTGCTACTCAGTTTTGTCCAAGGTCCAGAAGCAACAGCATCTGGGAACTCATCAGAAATGTGCAATCTCAGGGCCAGGGATTTAGCTCAGTGGTTCCACCACTTGCCTCAAAAGCGCAAGGACCCAAGGTTCAATCCTGAGTACCAAAAAAAAAAAAAAAGAAATGTGCAATCTCACATCTCATACTAAATTACTGAAATCAGAACTTGCACTTTAATACAAGACCCTTAGATGATTACCATAGGTATGTTAAAGTTTGAAGAGCACCAATTTGAAAGTACCCAAATGGATCTCTCTTAAGAGGCTCCAAATGGGGCACAAAACAGTGTTTAACACACCAAAATGTCTGATAAGATGCCCAGACCACAAATATATTTCACCAGGAATACCCAAAAATCTCTGGAAATAAACAGAAAGTAGGCATAACATAAATTAGCATCTGAATCTTTCCTTTCTTTCTTCTCTCCTTTCCTCCCTCTCTCCTTACTTTTTTTTGCAGTGCTAGAGACTGAACACAGGGGCTTGTGCATGCTAAGCAAGCATGGTACCACTGACATGGACCCTTTGCCCAAGCACCTATATATTTATGAGTATTTATTACTAAATTTACTTTTGGTATTATAAGAGCTCTCTAAATTTGAGCTAAATCCCTTGCTCCTTTTGTTTCATTTTGAGACATGATCTTGTTAAACTGCCCATGTAGGCCTCAAACTTGAAATCCTCTTGCCTCAGCCTCCTAAGTAGCTGGGATTACAGGCATATGCTATCACACTTGGCTCTGCATTTTTAAATGTCCTCTTCAAAGAGTAAAGTATTTGGATCTTCCCCCCACCCGTGCCTCTTCTTATTGAAACAGGGTCTAACTATCTGGCTCAGCCTGGCCCTGAATTCATGAACCTCCTGCCTCAGCCTCCTGAGTAGCTGGGATTATAGGTACGCCCCACTGTGCCTGGCTCCATATTTGGATCTTATGTCAAAGAAACTACCATTTAACACTGGACCAAAAATTCTCATAAGAAAAATTAATGGAATTGTCTTAGTTACTTTTCTCACTGCTAAGACAAAATACCCAACACCCAAAGTTAAAGGGGGAAAGGTTTATTTAGCTCATAGTTTGTAGAGGTTTTAGTTCATAATGGGCTGGCTCAAAGGCAGGGTGGCACATGGCAGAGGAGCAACAGATCATGGTGGCAGAAGGCAGTAAAAGCAACAAGGAAACCATAACAGGGTCTTTTTGCCCCTTTTATCTTATCCAGACTACCAGGATTAGGGCGGTCCCAAACCCATCAGTGTACAGGTTTAGTAATCACATGCCCTTAATCTCAGCATCACATACTCTAGATTCAGTCACCTCTGAAAAAGCCACCTATGACCACACGAGGCTTTGGGGGGACATCTAGAGCCAAACCATAAGAAGAATCAATAACAATATAAATTTAAATTTGCAATTAAAAATACCAAAACTTTAGCCTAAGGCATGCTCTTTTATTCCTTGGAATTGAATAAAATGTGCTAACTGAAGCACAAAAAATACCTATTCAACAACCTTAACTCTCCCCCTTAAAATATAACTCCAATTTTGAGCTAGGGAGCTAAATGCAAGTTCAGTAGTAGAGTGCTTGCCTAGCATGCCCAAGACCCTAGGTTCAATTACCAATACCACAGAAACAAAAACAAAACTGTAAAAATCTAGAAACAATCAAAATATCCTTAAATGGACAAACAGATATATAGTGGCACATCTATATAATACTACTCAGGAATAAAACAAATGAACTAGGTAACAACCTGAATTTATTTCAAAGTTATTATGCTTAGTATAAAAAGTAAACTGTAGGGGGCCAGGGATTTAGCTCAGTGGTGCCTTGTCTGCCTCACAAGCACAAGGTCCTGAGTTTGGTTGGGGGAGAGGGGCGGCAGTGCTCTGTAAAAAGGTTACATAATATGTGATCTCATTTACAAAATTCTTATAAGAACACATCAGGGCCTGGGTGTGGTGGTACACACCATCCCAGAATGCAGGAGGCTGAGGCAGAAGGATCACTGCAAGTTGGAGGCCAGCCTGGGCTAGTGAGTTCAGGGCCAGCCTGTTCTGGAAGAACTGAGTTCAATCTCCAGTACCACAAAAAACAAAACAAAAACCATGTTAGTGGTTGCCAGAGGTTATGGATGGAGAGGTACCTTTATAATTACCTTTAGAAGAACCAAATGAGAGAGTTTTGGTTTGTAATGGAACTGTTCTGTATCCTGATTATGGTATATTCTGTGGAATGGCTAAAGCAAACAAAATACTGACCAGCATCCAACAGAAATGACTAAACTGGGTGATATAAGCCACCCAATGGACAGTCATACATGTACCACCAGTGGTTCAAGCCAGTGGGAACATGTTAAGGTAGCTGAGTTCACATTTTCTGTTACTTGCACAAAACCCAAAATCTAATATTAATAGTGCTTTCCAAAGGCCTCGAAATAGTAGTCGGCTCTAGAGAAAGTCCTTAATCTTATATACCTTTAGCTACCAGCAAGCAGGAAACCTTGTTTTCCTAATTTAAACATTATTCATCATGTTACATGCAAAAATGTGTTTTAAAGAAAATTTAATTGTTAGTGTAAGAAAAAAAAGGATGACTGACAAAACAGAATTTCAATGATGGTTTGTTTATTTCGGGTTTTTTCCTTTTTTTCCCCCTAGTACCGAGGATCAAACTCAGGACCTTGAGCTTGCCAGGCAGGCGTCGTGCCACTGAGCTACATCCCTGGTCTATTTATTTGGTTTTCTGAGCCACAGTCATATTACCCACTCTCCTGTTTCCCACTTTCCATTCCTTCTCTACAGAACCTGAGCTACAATAGGTACCTTTGTAGAAAGGACAGCACTCAGCCTAGTATCTTTGAGGCTCCCCTAAACAGAGGAGTAAGCAGAAATAACAGCTGTCAAGTTATTAAATGTTAGTTTCTGCTAAGACTGACGGCCCTATTCACAGAGGTCAACCTTGAAGAGCCAAGCATGGCAGCACACATCTGTAATCCCAGCATTCAGGAAGCTGAGGCAGTACATCACTACAAGTTGAAGCCAGCCTGGGATACACAGTGAGTTCAAGGCCAACATGAATTACATAATGAGACCCAGTCTCAAAAAAAAAAAATCACCTTGAAAAAAGGAGAAGTACCACAGCCTCCATCCTCACAAATAAAACATGTTCTTACAACTTATCAGCATTTTCAGCAATTGTAATAACCCTAGCAAAGAATGATCACATGTTTTGCTATGTTTTTCTTCTAAAAAAAAAGGTAAAAAATGTATATATTTCAGACATATCAACACCCACATTTCTCACTACTGCCAATATGTATATGATGTATAAAATTATATTAATTACATGTGGCCATTAAGAATTTCATGGTTACACCTTTTTTCAAGTCTTAAAAGGTCTCAAATACTTTCTACATTTATAAACTATAAAGCAACTAGAGCTTTATTTACTTGTATATTAATGGAGTTGTTTTGTTTCAGTTTTTTTGTGGTACTGGGGATTAAATCAAAGGCCTTGAGTACAAGCATGCTAGGCAAGCGTCGTGCCAGAGCTATATCCCTGAGCCTTTCTTTTTCTCATCTCTGAAGATACAGCTAAGTGGTAAAGCCTTGCCTAGCATGCATGAAGCCTGGGGTTCAATTCCAAACACAAAGAAAGAAGGAAAGAAACAAAGGAAGGAAAGAAGGAAGGAAGGGAGGAAGGGAGGGAGAGAAAGGAAAGAAAGGGAAGGAAGGAGAAGGGAGGAGGGAGGGAGGGAGAAAAAGAGAAAAAAACATGGGACGAGGATTTAGCTCAGTGGTTTCGCCGCCTGTTGCGCAAGGCAAGGACCCGAGTTCAATCCCCCGTACCAAAAACAAAAAAAAAGAGAGAAAAACACTTTTGTACTCAAAGGACTCTATTCAGAAAGAAAAGAAAACCTACAGAATGGGAGAAAATATCTGCAAGTCATACATCGAGTAACAGATTATTAAACAAAAACAAGCCAATTAAAAAGTGGGTAGAGGCTGGGAATTTAGCTCAGTGGTGCTGCCGACTGCCTCGTAAGCACAAGGTCGATCCCCGGTACCAAAAAAAAAAAAAAAGTGGGTAAAGCCTTCAAATACACATCTCTCTGAATAACCTATACAAATTGCCATATGACAAAAAAATGCATAACATCATTTGTTATCAGGGAAATGCAAGCCAAAAATCATGAGTTATCATATCATACCCACTAGTATGGCTGTGACTGTTAACCCTGATATGTCAGCTTCACTGGATTAAGAAAAGCCTGGCAGGTTAGTAACGAGCACCCCTGGGTGGGTCTGGGTGGACCATGGAGGTGTGGCCTGGGCACTATGTAGACAACCCGTCTGTCCGCTCTGGTGTCTTTCCTTGCTCTGCTTCCAGCCATTGCGAACTAAGCAGCTTTGCTCCACCAAGCCCTTCTACCATGATGTCTCTGCCTCAGAGCAACTCATGATCAACCAAAACTGAGCAAATTAAGCCTCTCCTCCAAGTTGTGGGTGTTGGGTATTGTAACTCAATGACAAGAAGGCTAATACAGGGCTGAGGCTTTAGCTCAGTGGTTCTACTGCCTGCCTTGAAAGCGCAAGGTTCCGAGTTCGATCCCCGGTACACACACACACACACACACACACACAAAAAGAAGGCTAATACAATGACTAACTCTACTAGTTCACTGCTGGTAGGAACATAAAATGCTATAGCCAAGGTGGAAATTAATTTGACAGTTCCTCAAAAATTTAAACAGGGGCTGGGGTTTTTAGCTCACTGGTTCCACCGCCTGCCTCAAAAGCGCAAGGTCCCAAGTTTGATCCCTGGTACCAAAAAAAAAAAAAGTGCATATTAAATTGGTCATGAGAAGAGTTACAATAAATATATTTGGGCCAGGGATTTAGCTCAGTGGTTCTGGTGCCGGCCTCACAAGCACAAGGTCGAATTCGATCCCTGGTACCAAAAAAAAAAAAAAAATTTAAACAGACTTACCATATGACTAAGCAACTATACTCCTAGGTATATACCCAAAGAAACTAAAAACACTAACACAAGATACTTGTACACTATGTTCACAGCCATGCCATACACAATAGCCAAAAGGTAGAACCAACCCAGGTTTCCATCAAGAGTTCAAACATTAAAAAAATAACTTCAAAGCCCTTCTAATTTCATCCCATATATAGCCTAGTGTGACAGACTGCATTTTCCAAAGATGAAAGGAATGGTATATTCTATCCCACACACTCTTCTGCATATAAAATAATACTCTAAGCCAGGCAGAGTGGTGCATGCTCTTAATCTCAGCACTTTGGAGGCGAGGCAGGAGGATAACTGTAAATTCAAGGCCAGCATGGACTACACAGTGAGACTCAGTCTCAAAAAAAAGGTTTTCTACCAGGACACAGAATTGGCCTGGGCTGGGATTGTGGTTCAGTCATATAATACCCTAGTATGCCCAAGGCCCTGGGTTCAATCCCTAGCACCACAGGGAAAAAAAAGAAAAAGGTAGTATCTTTCTCTTGAGTGTGCATCAGTTTGGTGACTACTCTGCACAACAGTATATGGCAGAAGTGAAAACTCTGTCAATTCCCAGTACTATCCCTACTAGCTTCTGGTTCTTGTCTCTTGACCAGAGAGCCTCACAAAAGGCCACTCGTTAACAGAATGACCAAACTTCAGTAAGAGCCAGTACCACGCTTCAGCCACGTAAGCCAGGCAAACTGGAAGTAAATCTCCAGCCCTAACTGAGCCACCCCAGTAAACAGAATGAAACACAGATTAGATATACACAGAGCTCTCCCCAAACTGCAGAATATGAAATGGCATTGCCACTAATATGAGAAGCAGTTCATTACAAAGTCGTAACAGCTAGAACATCCAGTTAGTTAGGGTAAATCAAACTCTCTGTTCCCCATTTTGTGCTTTAAGCTCCAAATACATGCAACAATGATAGTGTTGCATATAAATTAAAATGTCACTTTAAAATTTCAATGACAGCTCTAAGGTGAATCACACAAACCTCTAGGAAGCAGGCATTTCAGAAAGAATAACACAGAGTCAGAAAGTTTCAAGTTCAATTTTTCTGTATCTGCTTAAGTGATAAATTTGGTCAAATCAATATTATATCTGGTGGATTTCTTTTATCTCTAAGGTGGAATAGTAGTATCACTTACTCCAAATAGCTGTTGTAAGTAAAAACTAAAATAATATGAAATTTAATTCGAAATTATAAGAACAAAGGAAATACTATCATTCAGAACAGAGCATACTATTTGGCATCGTTAAGTACTTAAAAGATATTTCATACGTAAACTGAACATTACCTCCATGAAGAGACATGCAAGGATAAGACGCTCTCATTAAGTCCTTTAGCAGACCATCAGCATGTTCCTGCTTATCCACAAATATAATGACAGATCCTGATTCTTGATAATGACCTAGAAGCTCAAGTAACTTTAAGAACTTTTTTTCTTCTTCAATCACAATCTGAAAATACCAAGTTGCACCAAGTTAATGGGAATAAAAATGCAAATACATCCCTGCTCATTAAACAAATATTCATTTATTTTGTGGTGAATGAATAAAGGATGACTAAGAAAAGGCTAAAAAATGTTGGCTTTAATTGGAAAATCAGTAAGATTTTTAAAAAATTGTAAACTTTCAGAGAAAGTGATCATCAATTCTCTCTATTCCTTATCATAGTAACCAAAGGTTAAGATAGGTATCTTAATACCTATCTATCAGTCCTGAACTTCTGACAGGAGAAACTAAAAAGAGCATTTAAAGCAGTGAGTTCCAGGTAACCAAGCATGGTGGTTCATGCCTGTAATCCCAGCACTTAGGAGGCTGAGGTAGGAGGAGCGTCTTGAGTTCAAGGCCAGCTTAGGCTACACAGTGAGTTCAAGACCAGCCTGGACTACATAGCAGGACCTTGTCTCAAAAAAACCAAAAAATTAATTTTTTAAAAAATGCAGTGAGGGGCCGGGGATTTCGCTCAGTGGTTCCGTCACTTGCCTCACAAGCACAAGGACCCAAGTTCAATCCCTGGTACCAAAAAAAAAAAAA